AAACTCTTCTGTCTCCTCAACCAAATCTAAGCACTATGCTTTCCTTCCTTCCTTAATACGTACTTCTGTGTTTATCTGAGTGTAAAATAATAGCTGCCCTCAAATGCAAATTTTGGAAAATACAGAAGCATATAAATATTTGACTTTTTATCTTTTTTCTCTACATGCTATATATTTACAATTACATACATATGTATAGCTCTGTTTTTTTTAGTCAACGTTACCATATAGACATTTTCTTCTCATTAAAGCTCCTATAAATATTTTCATCAGGCTGTATCAAGTTATACCATAATTTACTAAATCTTCTACATTCAGGTTTTCAGTTCTAAACGATAGTGATGAATAATTGTGCCTTAGACCTGATCACGTTTAGATTATTTTCTTAAACAGAATCCCAGAAGTGGACTTATTAGGACAAGAATTGTGAAGTTTTAAGATCCGGGCCTTTTGTGCAGTGTCTCTGAGCCTGTGACATTACTTTTGGCTTTCGCTCCCTTTCCCCCAAATGAGGCCCCAGACTTTGTTTGTCTCTCTTTAGCTCCCCTGTACTGTTGTAAACCATGTTATATATTACTGCCTTAGCCCCTTCCGTTCCCTGCAGAAGATCCTGGGTCCACATTTGACTTGTTCCAGTTGCATTTGTCGTGCTAGGCACTCGGTGTGGACACAGGAGGTGGGGCTGGACCCTTTGAGGGAAGCCACCCTGCCTGTGCTGACTCATGGCCTTCCAGCTGGAGGGCGTCTCCCAGCTGTTCCATCCACGAGAGGGTTTGTTGTGCAGGAGCGGCAGCAGAACTCTAGTTTGTCCCTGGCGGTCTGCGGGGAGCACACAAGCTAGAGCGGAGGCAGCTTGGGCAGGAATGTGCTAACCCATGTGCTCAGTCTGGGGAATAAACAGGGAGTCCCGAGAGGCACTCTGCTCATGCTGCTGCTTTTATAGACAGAGGAGGATATCTTGATGAGAAAGGAGCTTGAAGAAATTGCCAGAACTCACCCGGACCAGTTCAACTTATGGTACACCCTGGACAGGCCTCCTGTTGGTATGAGCCCCGTTGTCCCCACCCTGGGTCAGCTCCAGCCCTTGACCCGCCTCGGACTGGTCCCTGGGTTGGTTTGTTGGGACTGAGCTTGGGGGCTGAGGACTTGGGCTCTGTCTCCACGTGGGACATGCAGGAATGTGAAGGAGAGAGGATTTGGGATGAC